TAAGTGGGGTGCTGAGAACCTGGTCTTGGTGGTCTTACCTTTCTCCTTGGCCCCTCTCCTCAAGCAGCTGTGTGCTGACATTGAGGAGTCCCCGTACCTTTCCAGAGCCATGACTGAGGGCGTTCTGTGGCCTGTGTTCTATGGTCTTCTAAAGGCAATGACTGCAAGGACATAATGCCCCTCACACACATGGCCCGGCCCTGGGAGCCATCCCAGAGCGGGAAAGTTGGGTGGAAACTCTGCAGGGCACACCAGAACTGTCGACCAACCTCGAGGGCTGTAGAAGCTTCCAGTGGCTCAGGGCTTGCAGGCCTTGTCTGGACATGGGAAGAGCATCTGTGAGGGAGATGACGGGTCCACACCAGCCTGACCAGCGTAGTCAAGGTGGGGCTTCCAGAAAAGGGTGTTCCAGGAGGGGCTCTTCTCCACTGCTGTGTTTGTGCCCCATTTCAGAAAACGCCTCCCCGAGTGAGCTGCGGGACCTGCTGTCAGAGTTCAACCTCCTGAAGCAGGTCAACCATCCACACGTCATCAAGCTGTATGGGGCCTGCAGCCAAGATGGTGAGGCTGCCCCCCGGGTGGGATCTGCAGCCACTGGTGCAGAGCAGGGACCCTGGGCAGTTCTCCTCTCTCCTGCCCTCTCCCCTGTCCCCCTTCCTCCTCCTGGAGGCCTGGACTCTGTCTCTAGCCCCCACCTGGAGCAGCGTGTTACTGCTGGCCAAGCAGGCTCCTCCTGTGTGAAGGGCCCATGCAGGGGACATTCCCTGGCCTGCCAAGGCTGCTCAGAGGTCTCCAGGGTGACATTCCAGTTGTTGCATCCCACCCTGGCCAAGCGCCCAGTGCTCCAGAAATAGACATACACTCTGGGTACCTATAGGGTACTGGGTGCACTGTGACCTCTTGCCATGGTGATAGCCCACTACTGGCCCTGCATGGCAGGAGCTTGTCACCATTTCAAGGATAGCAGCTAGGTGACCGGCCTGGCTGTTGGTTTTCCAAATGCACTCTGCCGCCTGGGGGCTTCTCAGCATGTGTGTGCGTGCGTTTGGGGGTACGAGAGGGACAGGGAATAGCAGACAGAGGGCACAAGCACCCGGTCAGCACCTGCAGGCTCCGGGTTGGGCTCTGGGCAGGGCTGCCATGGGCACAGAGAGCACCAGCCAGGCCTGGGCAGAACTGGCAGGGCTGCAGCCCC